CCTTTATCTACAAATACCTTCATAGTCTGCATATTACCCCATCCTAGTAAATATATTAACCCCCGCTTGTATACTCAGTTTATGCATTCTACATTCTATGCATTCTATACATTCTAAAATCCGTATCTTGATTGGTTAGCATATCTACCAATCAAATAACTGGGAAAATCTATACACTACATTGCACAAATACCACCTAGAGCAGTGGTTCCCAAACTTTTCCTAGTCGCGGCGCCCTTTTTCAATTCAAGTTTTTCCATGGCGCCCTACCCTAAGTATGACTATTCGTAAGAGATAAAAATAAATAAAACTCGTGTATCTTCATTATTTTTTTTACTTTATTAACATTAAATTAATTTTTATAATTGAATGTTATGGATGAGCCTGCAAAGCAATGCACATTTTCTCAAATTGAAGCTTTTACAATATTTCGTGGCGCCCTTGTAGAGGCCGCGGCTCCCCGAGGCGCCGCGGTGCACAGTTTGGAAATCACTGACCTAGAGGTAGATCAGCTTTCACTTCCGGTATGTCTTCCTATTTCTATTTTATGCTTTGCCAAACTTGTATATCTTGGTAAGTATAATACTCTACTCATTACTTCATTCATTTTTTCTAATATGGAAATTCTAGCCTTCTGACAAATAATAATTAATTTTAGCTTGCAAGCTGTTGAAAACTCTTTCTTGTTCTTCCCTTTATTTTAGTTGATAATCCCCAAACAATTGAAAATCAAGGATATAATGAATGCTATTTTGATTTTTAATATTATGGTATAAAAAGGTATTTAAGCAGATATCTGCCTCTATTGGCTTAAAGAGTAATGTGTAGCATATTATTTCAGAATTAGTAGTTTATTTTGTAAATATAAATACACAATAAGCTCGATCTTAATATCTTCCTTTACTTAGTTATGGCTAAAACGTGAGATAATTATGGATAAAAATGACAAAAACTGGGAGGATTTCCTTAAGATTTCCTGTTAAAAAGCTGCCTTAAGGGGGAGCTCATAGGCCGAATATAACTCAATTTAGGTATACCTCCGTTTCAACTAAAATATTTAATCTCCATTAACAACAAAGCAATTCCTACAGATACCTTTCACATCCCCTAATCCGAGGTGGTGATTTATTAATTTCCCTGAGTGATGCATAGGAATGAAGCGACACACCGTCAGAGCCATAAACATTATATTCGCCAAACGAATTAAAAAAATTAAAAGTATGCGTCAAAAAAAACTTTTCCTAAGCTTATTTACAGTTCACATGTTATCTAGCTAACATAAATTATTATATATATCAACACTTTTTAAATTCAATTTACCAATAAAAAAGGATTATGGCAAAGGCAATGAGAAAGAGGGAAAATTAGATCCCTTCATATCTAAGATACTGGTTTCTTTAACCTATTCGCCACCTCTCATATTAAGAGGGAAATAGAACCGAGTCAATTTCTACCAGCTTTGCTCCTTGGTCCCTATTCAATATTTGACTAAGGCCAAAAATAATCAAATTTAGCTCTCAGGTGTAGTTTAGTATATTTTCAACTTTTTTTATATTTTAGAATAACGATACATTAACTGGATCGTTATTAATTTCAATTTACATGCTTATTTAATTCACTTTACAGAAAAAAGTTATTGAGAGAAAAAATACTAACGAAAACAAGAAAAATGTTCCTAGTAGATCGTTTCAATTCAGCATGGGTAGATTAATTCTCAATTTCCAAAACGCCAATCGAAAGACTGCGCTTTGATTCCAACTCGAGCTTACGTAATAGTTTCAACATTACCACTACGGAATCATTAACATATGGATTATCTCTGGCCATTTTTCATTGCCGTTATTCCATTAGGGATTACTCACCAAGAACGGGTATCTGGAATTTTTGACCGGTGAATGGACTCCAGGATTCAGTGATGAGTTCTACTTCGACGATAGGTTTAACTACTTTGGGCAGATGCCGGCCAGCCAAAAGGCGGACGACAAGCTCGCAGCTATCACGCGTCAATAGGACATGTCTAGAAGACAAAAGAGGGCTCTGGGAGCTTGGTCTTGAGGCATAATTGCTGGAACGAGATGTCTTATCCAAGGGGCCACAGGTTCGTAGCACATAGCCGCAGCGTCCATTGTCTAGAAATCGACCCTAGGGTCACGAGAAAGTGTAATAATGAAGTTTAGGTCATATAGGGTCCGTAAAGGGAGATAAACAAGAACCAAAATATGTATACAGTATGAGCTACTACACAGCACATTTTATAAATATGTATATATTACGACTTGACACTGCAAAGTTCTAACGGGCCCAATTTTGGTCTGGGCGTGACTGCTCGTGATGTAACATGGAAAAGGCAGTGTTACCGACCAAGCTTAGACCAGGATCGAAGAGCTAGTAGCAGTATCAGTATCATACTCCACTATATTTGTATATACCGAACCACATGTCCTACACATGAATGCAAATAAATCACAAGCGGTTTGATTGAAATTATGCAAACCAGGGGGACCAGATGGTTATTTCGCATCTAGAAAGAACCATCATTTAAATGTTTATACATATTGACCCCAATTTCTACTGAGAAACCCTTCAAAATTAGATTAGTCAGGCCCTGGGAAAGATCAATGAATAAAAAAAACATATCTACACACATATTTAGGCCCTAGGGTTTAGGGGCATCCAGATGACTTTATTTAGCAACATATTAAAAAAAAACCTGTAGTTCAGCTTACCAGCTTTTCAACATAGCTTAACTTTATCATAGCTATAATTAATGGGAATCTAGGTAA